CTGACATCAAGGATGACTAAAGATAAGTTACTTTGCCATTCTTTAGCTATGTTACAAAACAGAGGCAGCCTGAATGAAGCTTATCCTCAGTATTTCAAATGGTACTAAAATACCAAAACTAGCTTTAACTGTTAGTTTGTGATCTCTAAAAGACAACAAACCCTCAACCAAACCTAAATGTGCTTCTTAGTTTACTGAACTGATTTGAAGTAATTAAACTTTAGCCTTTTGCTCTGCTTAAAAAATTTCCAGAGATTTGCAGTTGCCTCAAAACATTAACTCTAAGCCAATAAGCATCAAGAGCTGTGGTGGCGCAGTGGTTAGAAGGCAATATTGCAGGCTAATTCTGCTGACTGCCAGCAGTTCAAATCTCATCAGCTCAAAGTTAACTCAGCCATCCAAGGTCAGTAAAACGAGAGCCCAGATTGTTGGGGGCAATATGCTGACTCTGTAAACGGCTTAGAGGGTGGTAAAGATCTGTGAATCAGTATATAAGTCTATGTGCTATTGCTAACATCTAGGGAGAATGTTGCATAAGGCTTTTAAACAGGACAGGGGACTGATTAGCATGGAGTCATTAGTACCAAAAAAGGTTTTGTTACTTTGTATTGTAATGATTAACTGTAGTATTATGTACCTCACCCAGAATCCATGTACTGAATATCAGGCCTGGGCCAGCCACTTAGTAGATGGAAGGGAACAGTTAAATAATTTAATTCTGTGTTGTCTCTAGTAAGTGTCCATATTTCTGCAGTTGATACATGGCAGCCCTATGGCAGAGTACTTTGAGGACTTAAAACAAAAAGTACAGGATACAAATGTATCTTGCAAGCTATGAACATGAGTTATAGGAATTCTCAGTCTTTTTATTAGAAGCCTTGTCTCTCATGGGTGGTACCACAAAAACTGATGTCATCCTTGATCATTATTTGTTAATGGATTTTATTAATAAGGAAAAAGCCATCTCAGGAATGACTGAAAGTGGAAGTTAAAATCTTTTCTAGCAAGATCACAGTTTCTCAGTTGCTTCCTTCCTGCTTAGCAGATGGCTGACTAGTTGGAGAACAGACAAGTAGGAATAACTCTGAAGGCAAATAAGGTCACTGAACTACATCATCCTAGCACTAAATTAGATGGCAACATTGGTTTACATGACACTAAATTAGGCCATGTATTGGTCGAGTGCTTTGGAGTTTAGCATCTCACACAAACTCTGTCCTTTGTACTAATGGGTGTATCACAGTGAGGCTCTAATATACTTCAATTTGTTTGAGCATGGCATGTTACATTAGAACAATTGGGTTTTGTTACCCTGAATTTAATGTGTTGTTAAAATTCACTCAAGTAGTACGAGGCACAGGATAGAAGATACCAAAGATGTACTACAATCCCAAGCATTTCCCCCCCAAAAGTAAATCTTCCTTTTTTCAATGTCTTAATAAATTCAGAATTGACTAGAAAGGAGGGTCCAAGTACTTTGTAAAACAAGACTTCCGAGAAGCTAAATATTAAACAATGTGTGTAATGATGTTTTATTTCCAACAAACACCTGTGGCCTCACGACCGACCATTCAAGACTTTTCTGGAATGTCTCTCAAGAAGCCCCACAGGGGACCCCCGCCTCAGCCTACTCAAAGCACCGCAGGGAGGAGGAGGAGGAGGAAGTCAGGCTCTGCGGGGATCCACTTTTCTCAGCCCATCCGCCCATCCCTGGCGAAGAGGCAGCCGAGAGGAAAGGGAAAGAGAAAGAGGCCTCGGCCCTCCCATCGCCCGCACAGAGGCTGGCCTTCAGTTGAAGCTTTCATAGCGGCTCTGATCTCGGGGACTCCCCGGAGTAGAGAGAGGAAGAAGGAGCCCGGCTACAACCAGCAGAGTGCGGCTTCCAGGCCTCTTGAAGGCAGGCAGGCAGGCAGGGAAGACAGCTGGGCCAGGCCCAGGGAGGAGGAAGCGTCGGAAACGCTGCCGGGGAAACGGCGGGGACTCGTCCACGTAGCCACCCCCAGTCAGAGCCCAGTCACAGCCAGCCTGGAGCGGGGCTTAGAGGCCGATTATCGCCCCGCCTCGGGCCCCTAGCCAGCCGGGCGACTCTGGGCCGGCCTTTCTCCCTCTGCCCCGGGGGTTGGGGGGGGTAGGTTCACCTCACGGGAACGCAGCAACCCGACCGGCCCTCCGCCTCCCTTACCTGCTGCCGCCGCCGCCTTTCTTGGGCCTGCTCCTCCTCTTCAGGGCCTCCCTCTCCTTGGCGCTGTAGGGCAGCATGGAAGCGTAGCCGTGCTCGGCTTCTGCGGGGGGGAAAACGGCACTTAGGCAGGCCCGCCCGCCCCTCGCCTCGCCTTTGTCTCGGGGCCTCGCGTGCGGCAGAGCTGCCGTTGCGCCCGGGCCCAGCCAGCCAGCCAGCGAAGGGGCCGATCGGGGCCGTCGGGGTGCCCGGGCGAGGGGAGCAGCGGTGTGACCTCCCCCCGTGTCCCCGTGGGGAGAAGGGCCACTCGAAGGTCTCCCTGCCGGAGGCGCTTTGTTGCCGGGGGGCGGGGGGGCTCCGGGTCGGCCTACCTCGCTCGCGGCGCTCCAGGAACTCGGCCGCCTCCAGCAGCATCTGGATGTTCTCACACACCTGCGCGGCGGCCGCCATTTTGCCGGGCTGCCCGGCTCGTCCTTTCGCTTCCCCGCAAGGCCGCCACCGCTGCCCGACCGCCGGTCTGTGTTTACCCCACCTCAGCCTGACAGACTCGGCGCAGCCAAGCCCGCCCCTTGCGACCGCAGCCCAACCCGCTACCCGCCCAGCGCGGCCGTGATTGGCCGGCAGGCGCTGCTTCCGCTCCTCCGTCCCTCTGATTGGCCCTTCGTGGAACAGAAAACACCAACCAGCTCCGCCCCCTCATTGGGTCCAGGAATTGGCTCGGGAGCTGGGAGGCCCTTCGCCACGATAGTCGTAGTGGTTGATTGGGCGAGCCCCAGGATGACGTTTCCTTCGACGGTTCCGTCGCTAGTCTGCTATGCTTGAAAGGGAGGCCTCATTGGTCAGCCTCGGCGGAGCGACATTCTGTGGCGGCTCTCATAGGTCCGCACGGTTCCCGTAACTCCATTCGGCTTCGCATTGGCCAACTCCCCCGGGCGCACCGCCCTGTTTATTGTGTTGGTTTCTGTGCTCGGCCCCGCCCCCGGCCACGCGTTTGTTCTATGGTCCCGCCCAACCAGAAGGCAGTCAACATCGAGCCAGAGGGGAGCATGCGCATTGCTCACCTCTTCCACCTGCAGGGCGGATGGCCTGCAAAGCCCGGGTGCCTCTTGCAGTTGGTTCCCGGGCCTCGAGGCAACAAGAGAGTCCCCGGTGCGATCCAGTTGCAGGACTTCAACTCCCACAATCCCCAAGTCACACATATTAAAACGCAGGAATTCTGGCAGTTTTAATCCACACACCTTAAATTTGTCAACCCTTGTCCTAAAACAGGCCAGAAGCGCCATTCTCATCCCAGGGAAGCCTTTTCAGCAGAATATCTCTACCCTGCCTGCTTGGTAGGAAAGTAGGCCCGCTGGAGGCGCACAGGCCACACTGTGTGCAAGCCTGAAAGAAGGGTGCCTGGATGGGCCTGGGCCTGGGGGGGCTCCCCTCCCCCCAAAAGGAGGGAACCAATCTGCGATTGAGGCTACCACTGCTAAAAGCAGAATGTAAAACCCCAAAACAATATATTGAGAAAGTGCATCATATTTACATCGATGTATCATTCATATATTATAAATATATAACTCCATGGGTGTTAAGATAATTACACAACTGGAAGTTCCAGTTTATCGGTTCCCAGGTTTTCTCAAGGTGGTTTCACTGCAAGCTCATCTCATTTTAAAATGTGATTCTCACCTCTCTGCTTTATTTTTAGGACACAACACAAGGTAAGAACAAAACTAAAAGGTTTTAATTTAAACAAAAGGATCTGTACAAAATACCCTTTAGTAATATTTCACATTCCAGTAACCGAAACAGCACCCTGAACGTCTTATGTAGCAACTGTCTGTTCATAACCCTTACATCTGTTGGCTTCTAGGTTTGTCTGAACTTAATTTTGGGTGGAATAAATCCCATTACCATTCTAGGTCAAAGGAAGCTAAGCATTTTATTTTAATCTGGATTATACCTCTGCTGAATGAATTAGTGAAGCAAACATACTATTCAATAACAGCACAACAAAGAAACCCCATTTCTACCCAGAGTTCTATCCTGTTCCATACTCCCTACTGAGTATGCTTGCAACTGCAGCATCAAGGATAAATTTTGATTATGCCTTTGAAGAAAAAAATACATCCATATTCTCTTGTCAACAACACACCCAGATCCCTCACCATGACACAAGCACTGGGAAGTTCTTCTGCATAGCTTCTGTCTGGATTGAAATATAGTGGTATGCACTACACCCGGAGTCCATAACCTGCAAATCAGCTGGTGTAAGCTACTTTGCCCCATGTGGTGCACCAAGGACTACATTGTGTGTCTAGCAGGTGTGGATTTCCCTGATATTGTATACCATAAGCTAAATAGTGGTTTGCAAATCACCCCAGCCCATTCCCACCCCAGTTATAAACCTTTTAGGGTAACAGCAGTGCTGCTGGATTTTGATAATTGTTCTTAAATTCTGCACTGAGCACACAGGTGATGTAATTATGCAAATCAAATATCCCAAACAATGCCAGTGAATCTGGAAGAATTCAAGGGTATAATGCAAGCAAACAAGGGAACCATTTTGCTGGTTTAAGTGCCCCCTGCTGGACAGAGAGCAGGGATCTAAAAAACATTATGTGGCTGAAGCAGCAAAGGAATAAGGGAATTAAATCCCATTGTGCTAAGAACCAATTGTCTTCTGGGTACAGTTTAAAAAGGAATTCAGCAATGGAAAAATTAAGTTATGTAAACAACATATTTCAGGAACCAAGCATTACCAATCAATTTTTGATTCTGTCTTTTGGAAAAGTTGGTCTACTCTAGTTCAATTTTACTCAAGGAGACAAGATGTTTCTTTTTAATTTAATTGACAATATTTAAAAGAGGAAACCTATAAACGTGGAATAACAACATCAGAAAAACCACTCTGTGCAAAAGATACATTTGAGAGGGGGGAAAATACCATTTCAACCTAGGAAATGTAACTTCAAAGAATTATTCACAAAGACCCTAACTCTTTTTGGGTGAGAAGATAGAACCTCTTAGCCAGACAGATGAGACTTCGGTGGAGTTTTTTTATCGGTAACAGCTGCAGACACATCAGGCAATAAAGTCCAGGGGCCTATTGAATCCACCTTTTCTGTTCATGTACTGCCTGCAACAAGGGAAATAAATGTGAGCAAAATTTTCCACAATCTCTCTCCCATATTTCTAAAATCTCAATAAGCACTGCTAATATATTACCATAGTAAAGCATGCATTTTTAAATGTCTATGTCAATATACCCAGATAGAAATAAAATAGGTATATTAAGCCTGATATACTTATTGTACTTAAAAAAAAACCTAAACCACAAAAAGCTAGCTATCTGTCTGTCTATCTCTCTCATATACACACTAAGCAAAATCTGAAACAGCACCACAGTGTATGGGACAAGTATACCGGTAGGTTTGGGTAAATATTAAATTGGAGGAAACATAAAAATAGATCAAGGAGACAACTCCACTTCCAAGTAACCAGGTAAAGACTCCAAGATGGCTAGTGGCCGTATTAACTATTCACCCATCGGATGGAAAACCGAGAACAGGGAAGCATGAATGGAAGAAATTCTGGTGGGTCTTCTGCATGCTCCCAGTCATCACAATACAGAAGTATCTGTGGGATGGAAAGCTTTCTCATCAAAAGGACAAAAAACAGCATTGTGCTACTGTAACACGAACTCTGTCCCTTTTGTACATGTGTATGCAGGGTCTGATAAAAAAAAAAGGAAGAAGTCTCCTCAAACCTCGGCTTATTTTTTACATATATCTTATATAGAAGTAAAGCTTCAAACACATTGTCATGGTAACTCTCTTGACTTTTTGACCATACCCTGTGGACACCCAGGTGTGATGTTATGATGCACTTACAGAAGAGGCACAGCTCACACCACAGTGCGGCTGTCCTTCTGTTTGTGGATGCTTCTGCCAGAAGTGCAAGCCACAGATCTAATGTACCAAATAAAAGGGAGCCATGGATTGAGGCAGGTCGACAAAAGGCTGGCTAAAGGAGCTTGGAGGATTTTCTGTGCTTAAGAGCCAAAACATCTTGATTATCCTGAGATATTAGAGACTTTGACCAAGTAGGACACAGACTGTCCAGACACAGGAAGACGTATAAATGATTCCATAAAAATGGTGCCAGGCTTTGAACTATCATGCCAGCGATGGACAATCCTGAATAGGACTTGCAGCTCACACGGCGTCTGCCAGGACACTCTGTATAGCATGGCATAGAATCCTTCCCTCAGTGTGACTTTGGGGGCCCTCGTCAAACTGTAGCTCACATCGTGACGGGGCTGTAAGCTGAGGGCAGATATCAGTCCAGGATCTGATTTTCTTTATATAAATGATGCTGCGCTTCAATGGTTAGATGGCCTTGACACTGATTTTTTGAACATAGGACTTTTTAATATTTACATTTTATGGCCTTTTACTAATCTAGGTGAAATGTTTGTGTGTGTGTGTGTATATACAGTACTGTGCAAAAGTTGTAAGCAGGCGTGAAAAAATGCTGTAAACAAAGAATGCTTTCAGACATACAAATAATGATCTTTTATTTGTGTCAATTTTCAAAATGCAAATTGAGTGAACAAAAGAAAAATTTAAATCAAATCAAATTGCCTTCAAAACAGCAGCAATTCTTCTAGGTACACTTGCACACAGTTTTTGAAGGATTAGCCAGGTGTATGATCAACTAATTATACCAAACAG